TAAGGAGTTTGGATTTTTGACAATTGGTCTCGCGTGCTGTTACGGGTATGAGGGCGGTTTTCACTTCCCGGCTGCCCACAACGTGGAAGGTTGTTTCTTGAGGGACCTGAAAAGGAAGATGGATTAGTGTTGGTGCGTGACCGCAGAGTCCAAGGGACAACTGCTTGAGGCCGGTCACGCACGGCCTTTTTATGAAAGGTTTTTTGAGGATTAGCTCCGTTCTTAAAGGCCCTTAGTGGGCACCCTTACCCAAGGAGACGGAAATCCGTGAGGTAGGGGAGGTGTGACAATTTTTAGGGGCCGACCTTTTCTAACCCTTTCCTTCCTTGTGAGAAAGGTCAGCATCGCTGGCAGATGCTGGTTGTCCGAGGGAAACACCTTACTGCTGTCACACCCCTCTGCAGTCAGCAGTACGACTTCGCCCTCAGTACCTTGGGTAGCTGCCTTTAGCCTCATCGCTCTCCAACCGACCTGCTTCGCACGGTAGGACCTGCAGGACATATGTTCCAGCCAGTATAGCTCGGTTGGGTCATCACGATAGGCAAGCCCGACACCTACGTCCAAGGGTAGCAGCTACGGTCGGGATAAGTAGCACGCACCACAAACTTACTGCTTGCTACACCTGTTGTTAACATTACTTGTCGATCTGGTGAATGGTTAGTTATACGTAATATTGTATTATCTTTACTTCAAATTATCACAAAAAATAATAACTTACGAACAAGTGCTTCTTTAAGAACTGCCACAGATTGACCAGCTTTTTCTTTTGCTAATAGATCTTCACCATAATAAACATATGCCTTTAGGAAAAAATGAACAAATTACTTGAAGAATAAAAATTAAAACATTTAATAATTTTACAGTTATGACATAAAAAAATTATTCAGTTAGGCGATGTACACAATAGACATGAAATTTTGAAGCACAAAAAAAAATCTGTTATTTTAGAGGATAAAAAGTTATGGTTAATAATGACAACAGAATGATTTTGGTGATTTTAGTTTTTTTTTCAAATTAGAGATGAATTAACGATGTGGATAGATTGTCTGATTTTCAGCAGAATAACCACAAAAAAAAAACACATGAAAGTTAACTTACATTGTAAATTTATATATAAATTTCGTACATATTTCAAAGAAACTTATACATTAAAACTATTTGTTTTTTTTTACTCAATCAGTCAGTTGCAACGTAGAACTTCGTACGTGTATGTACATAAGTTCATGTTGCTACACCACATTATTAACACAGAGACGCAAATGTCAAATCAAATCCCATAGTGATAAAGATAGTAGAGGTATTAATGGTAATGAAGGAGACTAGGGTTTGAAGATATTATTCAAGAAGTATGATTCAGTGAGATAAGGATAGAAGACAAAGGTAGAGGTGCTGACGAATCCAGAAGATTAGGATTTGAGAGAGCTCAAAGAATGGATGCACTTGCGCCTGTAACAGCACACGAGACCAAACTGGCCAAAATCAAGTCTTTTTTTACTACGATCCTTTTGACATTGATCAATTTTGTTATAATGGTATTTTCTATAGATTACATTTTAAAGTATCTCTTACTCACTTTAGAACTATTTGCCTATAAGAAAACTGTTAAACTGAAGAGTATATACAGTGTACCTCTCTACATATAGTGCACCGTCACGTATAGGCAGAAATGAGAGAAATCGTAACAGTGACACAAGAGTAGTCGTTTAATCTTTGCGTCACTGATACTAGGACTAGGAATATGTGCGAAAAAAACACAGGGAGAATAATCGTGTCTACCAGTTACGTTTTAAATGCAGGTTATCTTGCTTTTGACAAAAACTAGCGCTTGGGTCACAACATGTATACGCTTTTCCTGTCGGCAATTTTACTTCAAAGGAAGTCGCTTCTTTATACGGCCAATGAAAACTAGCCGTTAAGTAAATGTGCGTCCAATCCAGTTAATCGTGTTCAAAAGACCCCAGTTTTACATTAGCTGATAAATCCTATCATATACAGCAAAGAAGCTTTCTCCGGAGGATAAATTAATCCGCTAGTTTATTTCACCAGTCATTACAATCGATGGCACGAGTTTCTAAAGTCCTAGCTAATGATGCCTGTTGCCCTATTTGACACAATGTCCGTACATTAAAAGCTCCAACATGTAGTCTAGAACGGGGTTTCAAGAGACCAGAAACGACGTTTCGTGATCTCGCTTCGTCTGCATTAGCGGTGCAGTGAGAAAAGGGAGTGTGAGTACAGTTAGTCGTAGAGATAAGAGAGACATTAGGGGGTATAGGAAGGATTTGATTTTGACCAATTTGGTCTCGCGTGCTGTTACGGGTATGAGGGCGGTTGTCACTTCCCGGCTGCCCACACCGTGGAAGGTTGTTTCTTGAGGGACCTGAAAAGGAAGATCGATTAGTGTTGGTGCGTGACCGCAGAGCCCAAGGGACAACTGCTTGAGGCCGGTCACGCACGGCCTTTTTATGAGAGGTATTTAGAGGATTAGCTCCGTTCTTAAAGGCCCTTAGTGGGCACCCTTACCCAGGGAGACGGAAATCCGTGAGATAAGAGAGATATTAGAGGGTGTAGGAAGGATTTGATTTTGATCAATTCCGTCTCGTGTGCTGTTACGGGTATGAGGACGGTTGTCAGTTCCCGGCTGCCAACACCGTGGAAGGTTGTTTCTTCAGCAACCTGAAAAGGAAGGTATATTGGCGTTGGTCTTAGAGACCTGCGTGCGTGACTGCAAAGCCCAAGGGACAGCTACTTGAGACCGGTCACGCACGGCCTTTTGATGAAAGGTTTTTATAATATTAGCTCCGCTCTTAAAAACCCTTAGTGGGCACCCTTACCGACGGAGACGGAAATCCGTGAGGTAGGGTGAGGTGTGACATTTTTAGGGTCGACCTTTTCTAACCCTTCCTTTCTTATGAGAAGGCAGCATCGCTATAGATGCTGGTTGTCCGAGGGAAACACCCTACTGCTGTCACACCCCTCTTCAGTCAGTCAGCAGTACGACTTCGCCCTCAGATCTCGAGTAGCTGCTTCTAGTCTGATCGTTCTCTAATCGACCTGCCTGACATGGTAGAACCCTCAGGAACATATGTTCCAGCCAGTATATTTCGTTTGGGTCATAACGATAGTCAAGCTCGATCACCACGTCAAGGTAGCATCTTTTAAATTTATCTTACTGAATTAAACTTCTCGAATTATATCTTCGCTCCCTAATCTTCTCCATTACTGCTAATCCTTCTATTATTGCTATCACTCTTGGATTTGAACTGACAGTTGCGTCTCTGTGTGCTGATAGGGCATGGCAACCTGAACTGATGTACTTACGTACGAAGTTCTGCGTTGTATCTGTTTGTCTGTCTGTCTGTCATGTAGTCAAGGATATTTCAGGGGGCAACTAGTAACTCTACGCTTTAATTATTTTCGAAATTTAACATTTCATGCTATAAAGCCTTACAAATTAACTCGGAATTAACTATTGATATTTAGTTGAGTAGTAATGTGTTGAAATTAAGTTGACATTTTTTTTCTTACATTTTAATATCACAAATATTCTTTGAATGTTTTTTTTTCCGCCCTATTTTACAGAATTTGCAAATAACAGATCTTGTCAATCTTTTACTGGAAGGACATAAACCAACTACTGATAGTTTTAGAAGTATCTCCTATGGTGGGTATTCAAGTTCTTATTTAGGAGTTCAAATACCTGTACAACAATATTCAAGTAATTATCATCAAGTTGGTGATTATCTCAATGAATCATTAGCTTCATTACCTGGAAGTCAAGTTCCAAGTGGTCGAGAAAGTCCTGAATCACATTTTGAAATAGACTATGGAAGTAGTAGTAGTAGTGTACGACATCACCACAAGGTAGCTTCAGAAACTGGAAGAATGAGTTCTGTGCAAAATATGATGCGACATATAGCTGGGACTAATCTAGACGGAAGTGGATTGCGTAGTCAAGAATCGGAAGGTAGACTACTGGATCGTTTCCGTGAAGTAAGTACTACTATTATAGATAATATTATTTGTATATGGCATGTTCAAATGAATACTTGAACTGATATCTGGAGAAAATCACTCTCAACAAGTTTTTAAAACATTGACAGTCGAATTGAACAAATCAATCGGTGATTTCACTTAAGTCTCCCTTTTTAATTGACTAACTGTCGTGGGTTGATGAAAGCATCCATAGACTTATTGTGCTTTTACTCACTGATCGTCGGTTCCATTTTGAAAATGATTAACTGATATAACTCGGTGACATATCTTGGTTTAATCGCCCCTAGCTTTTTTCCAGCCTATTGGTACACCGGAAAATATCGCTTGTCAAGTCGCGCGGTGATTGGGCATATGTAACACATGTCCAAATCATCTCAACTAGTGAAGATTCATTACTTCATCAGTCGATTCTCCATCTCTATGTAGTATCTTATCCCTAAACCCGAGTATTGCTTACTCAATGACTCCAGAATACACAAAGATTGGATACTAGTAACGCGTGACTTGGCGACTAAAAGTCGAACGCCCTAACCAATAATTCATCTGTTCATTAATTCATCTCATTAAATCTATCTATCACTATTGAGTGTGATGTTTTTAATACCATACTCGTGGTGTTTATTGCACATAAAGTTGTTTAACAGAAGTTATGTGTTTTCAGATCGATCTCGATTAGAGTAGCATTATCCTAGTGTCGTATCGTGTTTATAGTTTTGCTTACTGATTTAACAGAACCTTTGATTATGCTTCATCGTAGTTGTTGCCTTCGTCATGACGACGTGAATAAGCGATAATCGCTATTATAATCACTATTATTCGATCATTGGTGTCTCAGAAGGATTGCTCGTTTATACTTGGGATCATCGAGTAAGCAATGTCAGCATTAGTAAAGGGGTACTACTAGATAAGGATGAGAGATCGATTGATAAAGTAGTGAATCTTGATCAGTCCAGTTAGTTGGGACATTTATTACGTGTGCCTCGACAAGCGATGTTGTAATAGTAGGTTGGAAGAAAGCTAGTTGCGTCTAAAGCGAAACATGGCACAAATCCACAAAGTCACTGACAAGTGAACTGATCCATGTTAATAGTAGGTATAGACTATTTGGTTGAAGTCTGCGAGACAATAGTAACTTATGGTTAGAGACTTTGAATAGCATGGTTCAAAATCCTTTCTTTATGTTCTCCCGAATTCCTGTTGACCTTTATCGTTCTGTTCTCAAATTTATTCCACTGGTTTATACTCCTTGAAGAACATCGTCAAATCTTGATCTCTTCGATTACTGCTGATATTTCTACTACCTATATTACTATGGTATTTAAATCGAAAATTGCATCTCTGCGCTAATATGGTATGGTAACATATGAAGTTCTACTTTTTTCCTGTCGGCACTGACTGAATAATCTTCAGTCAGTCAGTCTGATGCAACGTAGAACTTCGTACGTAAGTACATCAATTCATGTTGCCATACCACAATATTAGCACAGAGATGTAATTGTCAATTCGAATCCAATAGAGTAGTAGAGGTAGTAAAGGTATTAGAAGTAATCGGAGAAGTTAGGATTAGAAGATATTATTCAAGAAGTATGATTCAGTGAGAAAAGTTTAGAAAGTCAAAACTAGAGGTATTGAAGAATCCAGAAGATTAGGATTTGAGAAAACACAGAATAAATGCACCGGCGCCATTGCAAACGGTTTTCAGCCATGTCATTCAAGGCCTCTAACCATCGATAAGATTATACCTTTAGAATCTCACGTCAAATAATCTTCAGTTCACTGAGCCGGAGGCATCTAACAGTGTTCATGTCTAATTTTAATCAATCTAATGTATTGTACAACCTCACACACATTGTTTTCAGTAAATAACTGACTCACATTGAACATGGCTATGAGAGCTCCACTGGTTACACAGTCCTTATATTTTTTTCCATGTACTACTGTAATGAAGGAGAACACAAGTGAGGGCAACCGAATTGTATTTATCACAAATTACAGAGTTACTCAGTAAAATAGGAAAACCATATCGTAAACGGTTGATTTGCAAATCTTCAATCCATCATCAATCCATTGTCTGACATTTCACTCACTATTCATGCGTTTCATACAAATTCCATCGTGTGTTCCCACACTCTTCCTTTCTTGTTGATCTTCCCCCCATCTTCTGCTGCCAGACATTACATTGTCACTCACGTCATATACTACTTATAAGTAGCTCGCATCACAGTAGTAGTGGTAGTGGTAGTAGTCAGAATAGTAGTAGTGGGAGTAGTAGTAGTAGTAGTGAGAAGACTGAGGCAGGCGCTGAAGATTGTACTATGCAAATTTACACTCTTAGTCAATTGAAAACGACATTACATTGAACACTCTATTTGCACACCATCTTTGAGTCGCGACTTCCAACGCTCCAGCCTTCTTCCATTCCTGTTGTTGCTTGCTTTACTTCCTGTTGGTACTCTATTTGTTTCTTGCTTTTGCTCCATTTGCTTTCCGTTTTCCTCTTCTGACCGTGAGACTTCTTTTTTCACGTCCCTTCTTATACTACTTATATCGTTCCTATAAGTAGCACACACCACACCTATACTACTATGGCATTTAAATTGAAAATTGCATCTCTGCGCTAATATGCTTGGTATGTTAACTTGAACTAATTGACATACATATGAAGTTCTACGCTGTAACTGACTACTGCACTGACTAACTAATCTTCAGTTCACTGAGCCGGAGGCATCTAACAGCGTTTAAGTACCACCAACAACATAAATATGTATCTTTTTTCTTCCCTTTTGAAAAAAATATTCAGCTCTTAATGCATGGTTTACCAATGAAAGCATTAGAACATGCATGTCGTTCAAAACTATGGGGTCATGCATTCACATTGGCGCATCGAATGGGTCCTGGAACATTTACCAAAGTAATGGATCGTTTTCTCAATAATGATATATCTATATCAGATCCTATTCTTACATTGTATCAATTAACTGCTGGTCAAATGCCTCAAGTCGATTAATACAGCAGCTTATGGACGAGGTAAGTAGGGGGGGGGTGGAGTAGATTTGTTTTGTTGTATTTAGGATGTGATTTTTTTGTTGTTGCGGGAAGATAGTTGATCTCAAAGAAATGCATTCATTCAAGTGCCTTGATATGATGACAAAGAGTGGGAAGAGTTCTTTCTTCTGCCTTGTCAACGTCCTTTCATATGACCATGCGTGTGTGTGTGTGTATAAAGCCACTGGCAGGGAGATTCTACTCACTGCCTTCTCGTGACAAAGGTGTCATTCGCGAAATTTAGGGGAAAATAGCCAATATCAGACTAGGGCTTAAGTTGGGTTGGTGGAAAGAAAGCACTGACCCAGAATAATTAGAAAACATTCATTCTAAACCGATGAGGGTGTACATCGTCTCTAGAATCCTGATGGAACGATTGGTGTATGAACGTATGTGTTAGTGACAGGCTACCATGAAACTATATCTCCTAATGTTGCTTCACTGCACTACGTATTAGACCTGTAGGTGAATTGCTCGAGAATCGATCACCTAACAAAGCTGGTTGTTTCGGTTTTGTCAGCTGGACAGTATCTCAGTTCAGTCACAAATTCGTTGATTTATATGGTGCGCAAATATTTAGATGCCTTTTTGCACCAGTTTAAATGAGTTTGAATAAATTATTGTGGCATTTTTTTGTACCTTAAAAATTTCCTACGCTTGTGGCTTATTCAAATCCAACATTGGTGGTTAGTTTCACTGTTCTTTCTGAAGTTGGAACAAAGTCGTTAAATAGTTCATAAGTTATTCATAGGAAACTGTTTTCTTGCACTGATATAGTTTGTAGAGTTGACAGGGCAGTGACACCAATGTCTATTTTTTTTCACACTAAACAACCTCTGTGAAATTCGAACTAGCTGTTGAAACACAAACCAAGCGTACAACTCAACAGTATTGCAGAGCTTCGTGTAGTTGACCCCGTAGTTTGGGTTCAAAATCTGTCGAGGAGGACTATAAGTTTTGAAGATGGTCGCTAACCAGTATGGAATCTCAGTAGATTTTCGGGTCTGTTTGTTTCCGATCGGCTAACATCAAATCATATTATAGCATTGCGTTATGTTATCGAATCACTTGATTATGATTTAAAGATCACATCAGAAATGAGGTTAATGAACTTCAGTTATCTTTAATAGTTTCATTAAAATCATGAATTAATCAGTGTTAGACAAGTATTGGACACCTAGGAGCATTGAACGGTAGTCTCGAAATGGGACGGCGCTTAACAGCTGTGCTTATCCACAACCCTGCAACCTGGGATCGAACCCAGGGCCCCCAGTTTCATACGAACGCTTATCTATTGACTTATTGAACGCTTATACTGACTTCTCTAAAAGATCGAAGGCATGATATGTGATATAACTTATTTACCGAGTACAGCTCTAAGTCACCCTCTCTGTGTAAAGGCTGATGATATTAAATGGCTGGCCCAATTAAAGTATGTAGTGCGAATCTTGTAGGGATCACTAAGTAGTTTAAAGTCGGACACTTAAACTATCCAGCTACTGCCTCATTCAATATTTTGACTACTTGAAACAGTCGGTCATTCCTCGTTTCTTTTAACTTCGATTTGAATTCGTCTTCGTGTGAATATGCATTTTCATAACTATCAAGTGATTTGTATGAGGGCAGCTGTCACTTCCCGGCTGCCCACACCGTGGAAGGGTGTTTCTTGAGGAACCTGAAAAGGAAGGTAGATTAGTGTCGGTTTTAGAGACCTGGAAGCGTGACTGCAGAGCCCAAGAGACAACTGCTTGAGGTTGATCTCGGACAGCCTTTTTATGGAAGGTTTTCTGAGTATTAGCTCTGCTCTTTTTTAAAAGCCCTTATTGGGCAGCCCTTACCGACGGAGACGAAAATCCATGAGGTAAGATGAGGTGTGACATTTTTAGGGCCGACCTTTTCTAACCCTTCCTTCCTTATGAGAAGGCAGCATCGCTGCAGATGTTGGTTGTCCGAGGGAAACACCTTACTGCTGTCACACCCCTCTACAGTCAATAGTACGACTTCGCCCTCAGACCTTGAATAGCTGCTTTTAGTCTGATCGTTCTCCAATCGACCTGCCTGGCATAGCATAACTTTCAGAAACATAAGTTCTAGCCAATATAGCTCGGTTGAGTCATCACGATAGGCAAGCCCGACCACCGCGTTAAGGTCGGGTGATATGAATCGTTCACATACCCTTTATCCAGTTGTCTATCGTTTCTAGGCAAAGTTTAAAATCACAAAACAAGCGTTGGATTTTTTCCTCTCTTCCCTCTATCTATATTGTTCCGTTTTTTTCTTCGAAAGGTATCGACAATGGAGATTGGCGACCACATTTAGCTATGATATTAGCCAGTCAATCATCATCTTCATCATCCTCCTCATCATCATCATCTCAGCTGAATTTATCACTTTCAGCTTTAGAACGTCTTGGTGATAGTTTATTATCAAGAAAACAAGTATATGCCGCACATTTATGTTATCTATTAATGAATTCCTTACTGAAAACTACCAACAATCATGAACAACAACCACAAACTGGATATCATTTACCAGGTAAAATTTGGTTAATCGGTGTTCAACAACCGTTTACTTCTTCTCCTACAATCAATAGTGTTGATCATACTTCAGATACATTCCATAAAGATATCACTACTACTACTAATAATAATAATAATAGTAATATCTTATCTCCATTATTTGCTACATCGGAATCCATTCAATTGACAGAGATTTATGAATATTCTATGCAACTAGCTAATCGTAAATTTCATTTACGTCAATTATTGGTAGGTTTTTGTGTTTTGAATGTGTTAATTTTTCGTCTTTTTGTGTTATGAAAGTGTTTTGAGATGTACTTGAACTATTATGAATTAACCTAGTCGGAAACCGCGAGAGCCGAGGATCCGGCGATACGACATGCTACTCAGATCTGATTATCCCAACCCGCATATTGAGAGAAAATAAGAAGACAAGACTTGAATGTGAAGTAGAACCTGTATTCTACAAGCATGCAGAAAGTACGAGGACTGAATCCAGAAGAGAATCAGGATCCCAGACTAGGGATCCGGGAACGGGCCCTGGTCATAAAACGTAACAGATAATGCGCATTTATACATTTTGGTCTAATGAGAAACAGCATCGAAGTCTGTGACATTGACAGTTAAGACGACCAATAGGAAGTAACAATTGAAGTGACATTGATAGTCAGGGCAACCAATAAGAAACAGCATTTGGAGCACGTGACCATAAAATTGACCAGTAGGAATTAACCAATAAGAATTGACCAATAATTCTCTTAGGATATTGGATGAATATCCTAACAGAAAGTTTCAATATCATCGAGGAATACAGAGATGATGTTCAATCGTCTCTAGTGGATGGTTCGAATTGTGTACTGTAGATGAATTTGGTTGAATTCGGATATGTGAGCGATGTCATTGATAGTTATGCACACAATTACATAAACACACACACACACCTGGTGTCTAAATTTTATAATTAAGGTAGCTTCAAGGGGAACATTTGTTGGGGATGTTAGATCCCCAGAACTCACTTGATATGCTTTCG